ATGCATGTTGCTTAATCATGGCTTTGGTGCCTCAGCAGCTTTGCTTGCTTTTGCTTCTGATTGCAACACTGAATTTCATGACCTGAAAACTATCAGGGTAAAGACATTAACTAGATATAGTCCTAAATACAAGATAACTTGTTACTGAATCCAAGCTTCACACTGGAAACTATTTTATGTATAAAGTTTTTAAAGAATTTATGGCTCTCTAAAACAGTGAGATGATTTTAAAAAGCAAACTGAAATCTTTCTTACACAGTTCTGTGTTTAATCTTTGCTATGTGATTGGTTTCCCTTTAAACCCTGTGAAATTCAGCATGTGTGGCTTAGTTTTCTGTTCTGCAATTGGCCTCTGGAAGTCACATGGCTTGCATCAATATGCCTTTGTCATGAAGCATTTAGATAAATATTACTATAATAATACAGTGAGGAAAGAAATGCATAAAAGAAAATTGCTGTTTCTCTAGAATGTTTAGCTGCTGTTACACATTATCTTCCGAGAATTCTTTCTGTAAATACGACTTGATTTAATGCATCTCCTGGAATCAGTGTTAATTTCTTTGAACTGCTTTTATCTCAGGTGCTGCTGTAGACTGGTGGGCCCTTGGGGTTTGCTTGTTTGAGTTTTTAACTGGAATTCCACCATTCAATGATGAAACACCACAGCAAGTATTCCAGAATATTCTTAAAAGGGGTAATTATCACTTCCATCAAAACCAAATCCAAAGAATCCTTGTTTAGTGTAAATATTGTGATACTTATTTGTATGTGCATGTCTTTCCAGATATCCCATGGCCTGAAGGTGAAGAAAAGTTGTCAGATAATTCTCAGAATGCCATTGATATTCTTTTAACTGTTGATAGTGCTAAGCGAGCTGGACTCAAGGGTTAGTTATCTCTTACTAATCTAGTAATTTAGAGGATTATAATTTAATATTCATAGTTTCAGGCTGTATGAGGCAGAGTGGCTATAGAACTTTTCATAAGCCACTGAGAGTTTGGAAGAAAAAACTGACTGAGGAAAGAGCCAAACCATCTGTCTTTAAAATCTAGTGATACAAATGACCACAAATCTATTCAGTGTAATACTTTACAACTACAAAACAAAATCTTTCAAGGACAGTCTTATTCCTTGAGTTCAGAATATCACATGAGATTCTTCTCTTGCTATTATAAATGTAAATATACTTTGCTTCATTTACCTATAGAATTCAGAAATTACAGAATTGCTTCCTGGAATTTGCAAGTTAATAAAAGGGATAACATAAGCATTTGACAAGAGATTATGTTTGTTTTAAGGCATCATTTCAAAACTAAATACAGGACAAAATTAGCAAACATTATTATCAGTTGTGTTTTATTTAAACTTAGCCAGGAGACAGTTGAGAGATTAAGTCCAGGTAATTAATCCAGACTGAATTCTGGAAACATCCAGAATCATCCAGTATAATTAAAACTGTCAATATTGGCAAGTTAAAGATATTTAGACCTCAGTTTTCAGTATTCCCCATCCAGCATAAGTTAGAATGAGAAAGACTCATAATTAAATCTAACACATGCTTTAATTGTTTATTCTAGAGCTGAAACTTCATCCCCTCTTACATGGTATGGATTGGGATAATCTGCACAATCAGACTATGCCCTTTATACCTCAACCAAATGATGAAACAGATACATCCTATTTTGAAGCCAGGAATAATGCTCAGCAACTAACAGTGTCTGGATTTAGTCTGTAGGATCAAAGAAGAAGAGTAGTGAAGAGGATTTCATATTTATCATGACAAAACTTCCTAACACCTATTTTGTAACAATTTCATTTTTTAAAAAAATGATTTGCTTTTAACTCAATATTTTTCTGTAAAAACTATATTGAACTATATTCACACAGGAAATAGCTTCTGACCTAAATTTTTACTCTGAATACTGCACTTTATATTAATTGTATTACATAATATAATTATGGTATGACACTTTCCTACTCAACAAAAATTACTTTTCTGCTGCTATGGGTATTTCCAAATATGGGGAAATGACTGTCTTTGCTATCAGCTTTAACAGGGAAAGTTAAATGCATACAATTTAATTATCATGCCTATAGTTATAACATGATGCCTGAATATTAGAATCTATTTGAAACTGATTTTAGGTCAATTTGAAGCTGTACTTCCGTATTTTCAGTGCAGCCCAAATAGAACTTAGTCTGTTTTCAGGTATTGGTATAAACTATCAGTATTCCCAGTGGTTTCTAATTTTGTCAATGTTTTCATTTCTAGTTTATCTATGAAAACTATGGCAAAAGCAAAGCAAGAAAAGTTTAATTATTGCTATGTTTTTGATATATTGCTATTTTAAGTATTAAAAATGAGAATGTTTTGCATTTCAGTCTGGAGAAAAAATCATCATGCATGCTTATTCAATGTAGTGTAACTGCAATTCAGTGAAAAGATAGCGGGTTATTTCAATTTCTATATATTTAAAGCTTTGAAAATAAAAAAAAATGTGTATATATTTTGTAGTGCATAGTTTCTAATTGTCTTTTGAATTAAGCACTGAAGATTACTTGTTTTAGATTATATTAATGTTATAAATAATAATTTATTTAAATAAGCTCCACATCGAAATATTTCTCCGTTTTCTTCCATGTCTCCTATAGAGGAGTTAAATAGGAGAAAGGAGTTTAATAACAGAGTTTATATTAGGAGGACTTTAGGAATGGCTGCTGGAATTCTTCAACTGTTTGGTAGCAATATTCTTTTAGTACTACAGGATCAACTTGGAACAGAGTTTCAGTCTGTATTTTTAATTGGTCTGGTTGCACATCTGAAATTTAATAGATATCTCTTCAATATTCTCAAGTAACTAAAAGCATATTTACTCTTTTTCTCTACCTATTGTATCAAGGTAGATTCCTGGCAATAAATTATGTACGATAATTATATCTGATTCTTTATCCTATAAACAGAACAATTATATTATGGACATTGGCAATTTGTTATCTTTCACTGCTAAAAAAGATCAGAGAAAATCTTAATAAAAAGTATTATATAATACAATTTTAAAATAAGTCTATTTATATTAGAAAACCAGTAATCATGTTATTTCCTAATCACTTATTCTTCACTTCTAATGTTAATTAATAGGCACCTAAGAAATCTGATGAATCTCTCCCTTAAGGCACATGTCCGTTAATTTGACTATGCTTAGAATGTATCAACTTTGTCAATTGCTACTATATATGAATTAAAAATGGAATCCAGATCCCGTTGAAATATTTACTGATTTTTCCAAACATAAATGCTTCTATTAAATTAACAATTTTTGGAAGAGACAGACCATTTGTTTCTACCATTTTCAAATACTTTTTCCCCTCCTTTCTTGGTTTACACCGAAACTCTGCAATGCTTTTTTATTGTCAGTAAGTTGATTGTTGAGATTTAACTTGATATGGTCTCCACTTAAACTCTTACTGTATGCATTTATGTAAAACTAATATCAGAGTTCACCATTAATCTGGGAATCCTGGCATTTCCCTGAAAGTTTCCAACTGGTATACAATTATTTTGTGGGTGTTAGTGTGCTTTTTTCAATATTTTACCCCATCAATTAACTGGACAAGCTACTACATTTTTCTTGGCAAAATGCTTTGGAAATGTTTGCCGTTGCTAGAGCTGAGAGAGATTGTATCAGTGTCACCCAGCTTGCTTCGTGCCTAAGGTAGGATTAGAACTCAGTCCACAAGTATCTGTGCTTTAATCATACACCAAAACTGACTCTTACAATATATAAGACCATTAACAAATGTTAGGGTAATATACTCCGATCATTCCTTTATTCGAAATGTTATTTTACAATAGATTAAAGTAATTTAAAACTGTAAAAACATGTTCTATATCATATAGAAGTGTTTAACTTCTGCAATTACAGTATTTGTACATTATAGATATAAAGTTGATTTTCAAACTTTGAGACCTTACATTAGACCAGAATGTTTTCCCATTAGTCTCATCAATTACAGTGTAGAAGATAATTATCTGGAAATATATCAGTTTTAGTTCATTTTCTTTTTTACCCTAACCAGGAGGCAATCACTTTAAGCTGCATTATAAAACAGCTGAAGATCATATCAACAAAAAAATAGCCTTGTTTCCTGTCTTCTATCTAATTGTATTTAGAAAACTACCAGCTGTTATATCCTAATATAGATAGGATCAATAGGCAGAAATGTAAAATGAGAACATAAAAATTATCTTAAAGCAATGGGGGACGGGGGGGGGGAATGGACCATGAAAGCAAAGATTAAAACAAAGGAAAAGTTAAACACTTACAGTGAAAGCTTACTGTAACAGTTAAACATTTTGCTTACCTGTTACAGTAAAAAAGGGATGTTCTGAATTCAGCAAGACACAATCATTACAGAAACAGCCAGCTGTGTCTTCATATAATATTCATATCTATACACAGTGAGTGAATTTATAAACTATTGCAGGAAAGCAGGACTAAAAGAATGGTGGTTAAAAGAATGGCCAATGATGTGACCCAAATTCTGCCTAATTTTATATAAAATGTGAGCAGAACTTCAATCACATTTGCACTGTTGCTGCCACCTTGAGTTTTCTGCATATCCTGCAGATACACCTGCATGAAGAGCTATCTGGCTTAAAGCATTTACCTTTCATCAAGATGACACTCAGACTTGCTAAATCTGCAACTACTGAACCACTACCGCTGATTTACCGTTTTATAAGTTTGAGAGAAATGTCAACAAAGAGTGCAAACTGCAGGGGATGTTTTTTAACCCTGATGAACATTCAGTCATGAGAACATCTAGCTTTTGAATAATATGGCACAAAATTTAGTGTTCCTGGGTCACGTCAGGATTTGCTTGCATCCCCCTTGTAGGCATCGTAAATGGCAAGGGTGGGAAGTGCCCTGTGGCCATGATGGTTGAAAGCTTCCATTCTGATGTTGAAAGTAGTCATATAAGCTCTTAAGACATTTAAAAAAAATTTTTAAAGTGAGCCTGCCTGCAAGTATAGTCTTATTCATTTTGATACATTTCTTCCAGTGTTGAATACAGTACAAGGAATTGCCCAGTCCTAATTAATTGGTGGGAGTAACTTAACAGCAGTGTTGGTTGCATAGCTTTAGAAAAGATACTGCTATTAACATCCTTTTTCCACTGGCACCCTTTTTGCACTGGCATCTGTTTACAAAGTATTTCTTTACAAATTCAGAACAGCATCTCACAGCAAATTTTTAATATGCAAAAGCTGTGACTTAATTAAATTGGATTTTTTTTAAAAAAAAATAAAGACAGTACTTGCCTCTATTCAATAGATATGTTCATAACTTGTATTACTTGCCCTGAGGTTGAACTGAATTTAGTATCTTCAGGACTGTTTTCATTCTTTATTAAGCATTCTCTCCAATGAACTACTTTACTTTGAATCGATCATGCTATTTGAGACTCAGTTGAGTATTATTACATTGAAATGTATGGCTATGCATGGTTTTGTGGCTTTTAAAGATATATAATTTTGGTGGCATCTGTGGAAGCAAAATCAACAGCCTCAATTTTATTTATTAAAACGTTATCACATATAGTAGCAACTCCTCATTACTCTTAAATGCAATTGTAATAATCCTGTTTATTTTGGCCTTTGGGGATATACCGTTTACCCCATATATTGCATTTCTAACCAAAAGGCTGGCATAAAACAAAACGTACAGTTAAAGTATCATGGAATTTAAGGACTGGGGATACATGCTTTCAAAGATTTTTCTTCTCTTTTCTAAAGACTTATTTCCCCCCAGTAGGAACTGAAAACTAAGACATTATACAAACTGTTCATCAAGAATAATTGTAGTTCATATAACTGCTTAGTAGGACAGTTGTATTTATTATATTAGAAATATAGGAAAAATGTCTCATTCAAGTATAGAATCTTCAGTAGTGCAAAAAGAAAAAGAAAAAATGTTAAAGAAAAAGAAAAGGATGTTTTAATCATTCCAGAGCTTATAGTTCCTGTAATAACTACAGTATTTTTCAAAATCTTCCCATACAAGCAGTTCTTAAGTAAAATCAGGAATGGCTCAGTTCTGTTTTCTGAAAGAGAGACAAGAGGCAAGGATTACCAACTTCAGTGCAAACCCATGCATTTCTACTGAAAACACAGGCATATACTGTATTTCTTCCAGTGGGATTATTTCTCAAAATTCATGCAAAATTCCCCCTTAATTTCTCTCTTATTTGTAAATAACAAGAGCTAGACATTTGGTAATATTCCTAGTCTGCAGTTTAATATATACACACAGAATTAATAATTTAAAGTTAAATATTATATATAAAGTTCAGTTTATGCATTTTAATCTTAAAACAGAGAAGGTTTCTTTGCAACACAATTTCTATTGCTGAATCCCTTATATATTTAACAAAGCTCCTAGGTTCGTGCATATTCTTCCTTCTATACCTTCAGGTAGTTCTTAATTTATGAGCATAGTAGAGCCTGCCCATTACAGTCATAACTCATGATAGTTGTACCTACATGACCAACCCAATTTTATGACATTTTTTTGTGGTGGTGAACGCAGCAATTGCAAAGTGACTGCAGCAGTCCTTAAATGAATCAATTGATGAAGCTGAAAACCAGAAATAAATACCAGGGTTGGGCAAAAGCGTTGTAAAGTGCAGTCATGTGACTGCAAGACAGTGCAAACAGCTGTAAATGTGGAGTAGCTGCCAAGGCCTGATGTGGTCACAGGACTGTCAGAAGAGGAGGTAGCCATTGGAGTTCAGAACCAGGTAGTAAGTATCCCCAGGGAATAACTATCATACGTTCAGTTATTAAGCAAACAGTCATAAGTCTAGGACTACCTGTATGGTGACTTGGGAAGCTTCCATTATTATTTTTAATTGTAAATATATGAATGGGGAAAGATACTATGTTAAACAGATGAACTTGCTCTTTTAAATTTGCAATCAACCTACAAATGCTCCTTGAATATTATAGTAGCTTTTGCCTTGCCTCAACCACAGGATAAATTTTATATACAAAAAAACTATTCAGATTAATATGATTTGAACTCAACCAATATGTCTAAATTTTTGTCTCCCCGCAAGACTGATGGATACTGGATAATTCTGCATTATACAGAGTACCCTGGCATGTCTTTGATTGTTAAGTAATTTCAAATCTGTATCTGTTAGAACAGTGATCCCCAACCTTTTTGACGCCGCGGCCCGGTACTGGCATCAGCTGGGCGCCACGGCCCGGTACCAGCATCAGCTGGGCGCCGCCATCTTTTTTTGATGAAAAAGTGCTTCCGGTGAGCTTTCTACCCGGAAAAGCTCACCGGAAGCACTT